GCTGGGTAGCTCCACCACCCCGGCACCTTTCCCTGCAACCGCAGAAAGTGCTGCACCTGCCCCGACACCTCCCCCCTCAACCCCATCCAAGGACCCAAATAAATCTTTCCACATCAGACAGATGTTCACCTGCACATCCGCTAATGTGGTCTATTGCATCCGTTGCTCCCGATGTGGCCTCCTGTACATCGGTGAGACCAAGCGGAGGCTCAGGGACTGCTTTGTCGAGCACCTGCGCTCGGTTTGTGACAAACGACAGCACCTCTGGTTGTGAACCACTTTAACTCCCCCTCCCACTCCCTGGACAACTTGTCCATCCTGGGCCTCCTCCAGTGTCACAACGATGCCACCCAGAAACTGGAGGAGCAGCACCTCCACCTTGGGAGCCAATTGTCTCAATGTGGACTTTAGTTTCAAAATTTCCCCACGCCTGGCCTCATCCCATGACAAACCTCCCTCTCATCCCTGCCTCCTTGACCTGTCCATCTTCTCTCCCACCTATCTGTTCCTCCCACCTCACTGACCCATCCCCACCACTGCCTACCTGCACTCACCTATCGCCATCCCACTTACTTTCCCCAGCCCCTCTCATCCCCGCCTCCTTGACCTGTCTGTCTTCTCTCCTACTTATCTCTCTCTCATCCCGGCCTCCTTGACCTGTCTGTCTTCTATCCCACCTATCCGCTTCTCCCACTTCACTGACTAATCCCCACCATTGCCTACCTGCAATCATCTATCACCATCCCACCTACCTTCCCCAGTCTCCTCTCTATTTATTTCCCAGCTCCCTCTCCCCTCCACTATCTCTGAAGAAACATCCAACATCGTAATTCCATGTACTAATCTAGCTCTAAACTCATCTGCCTTACTCCTTACATTAAAATAAATACACAAGACTGCCAGTCCTGCTGTGTTCGTTAACCTGGCCTTGCCTGTTTTTCCTGTTAGATTTGCTTGACTTAACCTCTACCTTCTCCTCAATTACTCCATATGCTGACCTACTGCTCTGGTTCCCATCCTCCCGCCACACTAGTTTAAATCCTCCTGAGTGGCACTAGCAAATCTTCCTGCAAGAATATTGTTGCCCCACCAGTTTAAATGCAACCCATCTTCCTTGTAAACGTCCATCCTGCCCTGGAAGAGATCCTAATGAGCTAGATATCTGAAGCCCTTCCTTCTACACCAGCCCTTTACCCAGGCTTTTATTTGTATTGTCTTTCTATTCCTGGTTTCACTAGCATGTAGCACAGGGCGTAATTATAGGAGGGATGTGATTTCACTGGACAGGGTACAGAAGAGATTTGCCAGGATCTTGCATGGACTGGAGAGTTTTAGTTATGAAGAGAGACTAGATAGATTGAGGTTATTTTTCTTGGAGCAGAGGATACTTGAGGGAGATGTAGAAAATTATGAAAAGGATAGACGGGAAGAAACGCTTCCCCTTGGTGGAGGGATCAATGACTGCGGGAACTGGGGGGTGGGGAATAGATTTAAGGTAAGGGGAAGAAGGTTTAGACAAAATGTGAGGAAAGACCTTTTCATCCAGAGGGTGGTTAGAATCTGGAACTCACTGCCTGAAAGGGTGGTAGAACCAGAATCAACTCATAACATTTAAGGAGTATTCAGATGTGCACGTGTTGTAAAGGCATTCAAGGAAATGGGCCAACTGCAGGACTAGAATTAGAATAGTTAGGAGGAAGGGTCACTTGACCTGAAACGTTAACTCTGATTTCTCTCCACAGATGCTGCCAGACCTGCTGAGCTTTTCAAGCAACTTCTGCTTTTGTTTTAGAATAGTTAGGCGCTTGTTTTTGACTGGTGCACATTTAGAATCCATTCGGCCCAACAAGTCCACACAGCCCCTCCGAAAAGTATCCCACCCAGACCCATTTCCCTACCCCTGATTTCCCATGTTTAACCCTCCTAACCTAAAGATCCCTGGGCACTATGGACAATTTAGCATGGCCAATCCACCTGACCTGCACATCTTTGGACTGTGGGAGGAACCCCACGAAGACACAGGGAGAATGTGCAAACTCCACGCAGACAGTCACCCAAGGATGGAATCAAACCCTGGTCCCTGGTGCTGTGAGTCAGCAGTGCTAACCACTGAGCCACTGTGCCACCTTAAATGATGGAACTTTTTCTGTGCTGTAGACTCCAATGACTCTATTCTAATCCCATCTGTCTCACAGAGCAGTTCCTCATTCTGTCTGTCGAAAGCAGTCTTGTTCTCTCTCAATGTTAGTTCCTCACTTTCTATAGCACTCCTCTCTCTATCTCTCTCTCTGTAGCAACTTCTTGCTGTCTCTCTCTTTATAGCAGCTCCTCATCTCTCTTGATGGCCACTCCTTGTTCCTCTCTCTATGACAGCTCCTCACTTCCTTGTGCTCTCGAGCAGCTCTTTGCACTATCTACAGCAAATCCTGCTTCCCTCTCTATAACAGCTTCTTGCTCTGTCTCTGTTTAGTGGCTCTTCTCTCTCTCTTGCTGTAACTCTCCTCATTCTCTCTCTTTATTGCAACTCCTTGCTGTCTCTCTCTCTATAATCGCACCTCACTCTTCCTGTCTTGGCAACTCCTCATTCTCATCATCTCTGTAGCAACTCCTCATTTTCTCTCTACATATTTTCTAATCAACTTGTTCAGAGATATTATTACACACCTCTGGAGCAAGTGTCACTTGAATCCAGGCCTTCTGGCTCAGAGGTGGGGACATTAACATTGAACTATGAGACCTTTATTTTCTCTCTGTTGCAGCTCCCTCAAGAGAAGCTGCTCGTTCCCTCTGTAGCAGTTAGAACATAGAACAGTACAGCACAGTACAGGCCCTTTGGCCCACGATGTTGTGCCAACCTATCATTCTACTAAGGTCAATCTACCCTGCATACCCTACATTTTACTATCCTCCATGTGCCTATCCAAGAGTCGTTTAAAAGTCTCTAAAGTATCTGACTCCACTACCACTGCCGGCAGCGCATTCCACATGCCCACCACTCTCTGTGTGAAGAACCTACCTCTGACATCTCCTCTATACCGTCCTCCAATCACCTTAAAATTATGCCCCCTCATAATAGTCATTTCCGCACCGGGAAAAAGTCTCTGACTATCCACTCTATCCATGCCTCTCATCATCTTGTAAACCTCTATCAAGTCACCTCTCATCCTTCTTCACTCCAATGAAAAAAGCCTTAGCTCCCTCAACCTTTCCTCATAAGATCTGTCCTCCAGTCCCGGCAGCATCCTGGTAAATCTCCTGTGCACTCTCTCTAAAGCTTCCACATCTTTCCTGTAATGAGGTGACCAGAACTGAATACAATATTCCAAGTGTGGTCTAACCAGCGTTTTATAGAGCTGCAGCATAACCTCAGGGCTCTTATACTCAATTCCCCTGCCAATGAAAGCCAAATTCCTCACACACTGTCCCTATTGCAGCTGCTCATTCCCTCTCCCTCTCCATAGCAGCTCCTCATGCTCTTGTGCAGCTCCTCGCACTCTTTCTCTTTATGGCAACTTTAATTCTCTACCTCTACAGCACCCACTCTCTCTTTCTCTCTCTCTATGTATGTATGACAGCTACTCATTATCACTCTATAGTAGCTTCTCACTCTTTCTAAGGTAGCTCCTGACTCTCTCAATAGCAGTTCCATATTTTCACTGTATAGCAACTCCTCGTCTCTCTTTCTTTAGTGTGTCCTTGCCCTCACCCTCCCTACTTGTGCTCTCTCTCTATAAAGCTCCTCATTCTCTATTTCTTTAGCAGCTCTTTGTTCTCACTCTATCCAGCAGCAACCTCATCTCTCTCTCCATAACAGCAGCTCGCCCTCTCACTATAGTCAATCCTCATTTTCTCTCTATAGCAGCACCTGATTCCCACTGTCTATAGCAGCTCTCTATTTTTTCTCTCACATATCTTCACTCAGTGTAGCAGTTTCTCATTCTCTCTCTATTGCAGCTGTTTACTCTGTCTACAACAGCTCATCATTCTCTCTCTCTTTAGCAACTTCTCATTCTCTTGAGAACAGCTCCTCCTTCTTTCTCTTCATAACAGCACCTTGATTTCTCTCTCTTTGGCAGCTCTTCGTTCTCTGTTTCTGTAGAAGCTCCTTGGGTGCGCTCTCCATGGCAGATCCTTATTATCTTTAGCAGCTTTTTCCTCTGTCAGAGCTGCTTATTCTCTCTGTCTGTCTGTAGCAGCTCCTTGTTCTGTAATTGAGTTTTAATCTTTATGCCTATATGTAATATTCAAAGATGCTAGTTTTCTCTCTCTCTGGCAGTTCCTCCCTACCTCTCCCATAGCAGCTTCTTGCTCTCTCTAGCAACTCTTTGTTGCCCTATGGCAGCTTCTTGCTCTCTGTAGCAACTCCTTGCCCTGTCTATAGCAGGTCCTAGGTCCTTCTATCACAGCACTTTGCTGTATCCATAGAAGCTTCTAATTCTCTAGATAGCAGTTCTTGGTGCTCTGTCCAAAGCAGTTCCTGTCCCTTAACAGTTGACAAATCTCTTGCTCCACCACTCACTCGTAATAATATTTTGCTCTCTCTCACTGTCTCTAATTTCCTAATTTATTTCCTAAGATAATGTATGTGTGAGGCATTAGATTTTATTGTTTGTGGAAAAGTAATTTGGTTATTCTAATTATAGAATCACTACTGTGCATAAGCAGGCCATTTCGCCCATTAAAACCACACTGACCCTCCGAAGATCATCCCATCCTGACCCAACCCCAATCCCCCACTCTCTTCCCGTAACCCTGCATTTCCCATGGTTAATTCACCTATCCTACACATCCCTTGACAGTATGGGCAACTTAACATGGCCAATCACCTAACCTGCACTGTGGGAGGAAATAGAGCACCTGGAGGAAACCCATTCAGACACGGGCTAAGTCCACATAGATAGTCGCCCAAGGCAGCAGTGCTAATCACTGAGCCACCGTGCTGCCAAACCTTTATGTCTGTGTGTAATATTTAAAGATATTTACATTTTTCTAATCAACAGGTGCTAAAAGTTACAAGGAGCATGGGCACAGAATGTTGCTGAATTGGCTGCCCGGTGTGATCATCTCAGGAGAAAACCCAATTAAAGAGCTATATGAAGGCCTAGTGGGAATAGGCAGGAGAGACCTGGCAGGTAATTATTTATGTATTTATTTATTTATTCATTCATTCATTCATTCACTCATGGGACATATGTTCTTGGCTGGCCAGTGTTTATTCCCAGTCCCTAGTTGTATCATCTACAGCCACTGGCTAATGTTGTGCCTTTATTTAAGAAAGGCTGTAAAGAGAAGGATGGTAATTGTAGACCGGGGTGAGTCTGACATCAGTGGTGGGTAATAGCTCACTCAGAGATAGTAGGAACTGCCGATGCTGAAGTCTGAGATAACAAAGTGTGGAGCTGGAGGAACAGCAGGCCAGGCAGCATCAGAGGAGCAGGAAAGCTGACGTTTCAGGTCTGGACCCTTCTTCAGAAAAAAGTCATTGGAGGGGATTCTGAGAGATAGGATTTACACGCATTTGAAGAGTCAAGGACTGATTAGGGATGGTCAAAATGGCTTTATGCATGGGAAATCAAGTCTCACAAACTTGATTAAGATTTTTGAGGATATGACCAAAAAGATAGATGAGGGCAGAATGATTGCATTGTTTATATGGATTTTAGTTAAGCCTTGGACAAAGTTCAGCATAGTTAGTAAAGTTAGATCACGTGGAATTCAGGGAGAGCTTGCCAGTTGGATACAAAATTGGCTTTAGGATAGGACAGAGATAGCAGTGGTGGAGGGTTGTTTTTTGGACATGGATCAGTGCTGGGTCTGCTGTTGTTTGTTAGTTATATAAACAATTTGGATGGAACCTAGGAGGCATGGTTAGTATGTTTGCTGATGACACCAAAATTGGTGGTAAAGTGGACAGTGAAGGTTATCTAAGATTACAAAAAGATCTTGATCTATTTGATCAATGGGCTGACGGGTGGCAGATGGAGTTTAATTTGGATAAATGTGAGGTTTTGCATTTTGATAAAACAAGGCAAGACTTACACAGTTAACAGTAGGGCCCTGGGGATTGTTGTCCAATAGAGAGACCTAGGGGTTCAGGTACATAGTTCTTTGAAAGTTGCAGTGCAGGTGGACAGGGTGGTTAAGAAGGTATTTAGCACACTTGCCTTCATTACTCAGATCATAGAGTTTAGGGAGGTCCTGTTGAGGTTCTCTAGAACGTTGGTGAGGCCTCTTTTGGAGTATTGTGTACAGTTCTGGTTGTCTTGCTATAGGAAGGATGTTGTTAAATTGGAGAGGGCTCAACAGATATTTACAAGGATGTTGCCTGGGACTGGAGGGTTTCAGTTATAATGAGAGGCTGGATAGGTTGGGACTTCTTTCACTGGACCATAGGTAGTGACTGTAACGAGGTAAGCCAGTGGACCTCATTGAATATGACTTCCCTGATTGGGGCTGTTAATCAGGTACAATCAGGGAGCCCTGTCTGACAGATAAGAACAGGGGTGTCAGACATCCTGTACACTCTAAGAGCTGGCTCTGAGGGAGCTGGATCAATGTCAAGGACTCTCCACATGTAAATAAAGGGTGATTTGGTGATGGGATACTGGTGTCTGTGGAGTTATTTCAGTAGAAGGTTGAGGGGTAACCTTATAGATGTTTGTAAAACATGAGGGGCACAGACGAAGGTGAACAGAAAGGTCTTTTCCCTTGAGTAGGGGAGTTCAAAATAGTTTTAAGGTGAAAGGAAAAAGATTTAAAAGGGATCTTTTAGATTGCAAAATCTAAAAGATATTATGACAGGAACAGGAAAGGTTTAGAGGAGTATGAGCCAAAGGCAGGTAAGCATGACTAGTTTAGTTTGGGAAACTTGGTTGGCATGGACGAGTTGGACTGAAAGGTCTGTTTTCGTGCTGTATGACTCCATGACTATTAATTTGGATAAATGCAAAATATTGCATTTTGGTAAAACAAACAAGGGCAGGACTTGTACAGTTAACAGTAGGGCCTTGGGTAGTGTTATAGAACAGAGACACTTAAAGGGTCAGGTACATAATTCTTTGAAGTTTGCATCACATATCGATCAGGTAATTAAGAAGATGTTTAGCATGCTTGCCTTCATTGCTCAGACCTTTGAGTATAGGAGTTGGGACGTTATGTTGAAGTTGTACAGGATGTTGCTGAGGACTCTTCTGGAGTACTGTGTCTAGTTCTAGTCGCCCTGTTATAAGAAAGATATTAAGCTAGAGAGGGTCCAGAAGAGATTTACCAGGAAATTGCTGGGAATGGAGAGTTTGAGGGAGTTATTATGAGAACCTGCATATGCTGGGGCTTTTCTCACTGGAACATGGGAGGTGAGAGGTGATCTTATATAGATTTATAAAATCATGAGGGGTATAGATAAGGTTAATGGCAGGTCTTTTCCTGAGGGTGGGGGATTTCAAGACTCGGGACATATTTTTAAGGTGAGAGGAGAAAGATTTAAAAAAGACATGAGGTGCAATTTCTTTTACACAGAGAATGGTTCATGTGTGGAATGAGCTGCCAGAGGAAGTGGTGGATGCAGGTACAGTTACAACATTTAAGACATTTAGATAAGTACATGAAAGAAATATTTGGAGAGATACATGCCGAGCACAGGCAGGTGGAACTAGTTTAGTTTGGGATTATGGTTGGCATAGGCTGGTTGGACCGAGGGGTCTGTTTCCATGCTGTATGACTCTGTGACTCTAGTTAGGAACATAGGAACAGAAGTAGGTCATTCAGGTAATCAAGCCTGTTCTGCCATTCAGTACAAGCATGACTCATCTGTGGCCTAACTCCATATGCCTGCCTTGGGTGGGTATCCGTTGATAACCTTGCTTAATAAAACTTTGTCTATCTCAAATTTAAATTTAACAATTGAATTGGCATCAACTGCCATTTGAGGAAGGGAGTTCCAAACCTCCACTGCTGTTTACATGTCGAAGTGTTTTCTAACATTCTCCTGAATGGTCTGGCCCTAATTCCTAGACTGTGCCCCAGTTCTAGAATCTTCAACCAGTGGAAATAGTTTATCTTTATCTACCCTGTCTTTCCCTGTTAATATCCTGAAAACCTTCATTAGATTACCCTTTAACCTTCCAAATTCTAAAGAATAAAGTTTAATCTTTCCTCATAACCCCGAAGTCCAGGTATCATCCTTGTAAACCTGTGTTGAACTCTTGCCAGAGCCAAAACGTCCTTCCTGGGGTTTGTTGCCCAGGTCTGCTCGCACCACCCTAAGTGGGGTCTAACTAGAGTTTTGTATAACTGCAATGTAATGTCTGCATGTCTATACTCCAGTCCTTTAGATATGAAGGCCAGCATCCCATTAGCCTTATTGACTATTTTCTGCATCTGTTCAAATCAATTTAAAGGGCTACACACTTGAACACCCACTGTATTTAACTTTGTGCCTTCTAAAATATACCCTGATCTATCCTTTATCAGTCCAAGTGGATAACCTCTCACTTGCTTATATTATAATCCATCTGCCACAGCTTTGTCCATTCTATCACCTAATCTGTCGATATCCTGTTGTAATTTTGTGCTGTCGTCAACACTGTCTAAAATGTTGCCCAATTTTGTATCATAAGCAAATTTGGAAATTTGACTTTTTATACAATTATCCAAGTTGTTAATGTATATTGTGAATAATTAAAGCCCAAACACAGATCTCTGCAGGACACTATAAGTCATGTCCTGGCAATTTGAATACATACCCATTATTCCAACTCTCAGTTTCCTACCACTCAATCAATTTCCAACCCATGTCAGTAATTTGACCTCAATTCAGTGGGCTTCCACCTTAGCTAATAGTCTCTTGTGTGGAACTTTGTGAAAAATCTTTTGGAAGTCCATATAAACAATATCCATTGACCTGTGTCCACTACCTTTGCCACCTCTTCAAAAAACTCTTGAGGTTTGTCAGACATGACTTACCCTTCATGAATCCATGCTGATTCTACCTGATTATCTGAAAATTTTCTAGGTGATCTGTTAACCTATCTTTGATTATAGACTCCAACAATTGCCCCACCACAAGTGTTAGGCCATCTGGTGTATAATTCCCTTCTTAAAGAGCAGAATGACATGAGCATATTTCCTAGCAAGAGGTACAACTCCAAGGAACTCTGAAAGATTATGGTTAGGGCATAGGCAATTTGCTCTGCTACCTTCTTTAATACCTATGGATGGAAACCATCAGGTCCTGGGCATTTGTCACTCTTCAGTTTCATTAATTTCTCCATTATTGATGATTTACTTCAGCTAATTTTATTTAGATCCTGTCCCTGATTCTCTTTTAATTTATTTGAAACTTCCGTCAAGCTCTCATCCTTTTCTGCTGTGAATACTAAAGCAAAATAATTGTTCAACATGTCTACCATTTTCACATGGTCACTGACAATATCCCCAGTCTCAGCTTCAGGGCCAATAATGCTCTTACTCTTTGGATAACTATAAAATCTCCTCTTACTGTGTTTTATGTCCCTTGCAAGTTTCCTTTCATAATTCTTTTAGCTGCTCTTATAAGCTGCTTTGTGGCCCTTTGTTGGTTCTTAAATTTGTCCCTTTCTGTCGGATCTGTATTGTCCTTTGTATTTTTATAAGCCTTTTCTGTTAATTTTATGCTAACCCTTACCTCCTTAGATGTCCGTAGCTGTGTTTTTTGAGGTACAGCTTTTCTTTCTCATGGGTACAAACTGCTTCTGAATAGCATTCAGTGTTTCTTTGAACACCTTCACTAATCTGAGATAACAAGGTGTAGAGCTGGATGAACACAGCAGGCCAAGCAGCATCAGAGGAGCAGGAAGGCCGACGTTTCGGGCCTAGACCCTTCCTCAGAAAT